AGATATTTGATACAGAAGTATAATATCTTAAGTTTTGGAAATGTTCAAAAATGTAAACTCGTCTGCTCAGTTTACAAAGTCTTAAATGGACTCGCTCCACCTCCTCTGGGTGAGTTCATGAAGCCCAAGTCCAGCTCTAGTGGTCGGGGAACAAGACCCTGTACCTCTGCAAAACCCTGTAGACGCACAACTTTCAGTCAACAGGTCAAGGAACAGAAATCTGGAACAACATCCAGCTGCTATAAGAGACTCCACCACATTCAGTTCATTTAAAAGTAAACTGAAACGACGGCTTAAGAGAAACCAGATCTGTAACCACTAATGTTCTGCTCCTGTGTAAACGTCAGTGTTGTGTGTTTGTCTATTGTGACGTGTTTTATGTTCTTTGTTTTATGTTTTATGTCTCTGTCTCTCTGACCTGACAGGGACGACAGATGAAAAGTCGCCTTTGGGCTAATTCTGGCGTATTTACAAGTATATGTTCATGAATATGCATTGTCCCTTTTAAATAAATAAAAAAAATAAAATACAATTAAAAAAAGATCTTAAACAGGAGAAGGATTTTCTGTGGATAAATCATGAACCAATGAATTATAATTTCCATTTATTGTCATTTTGAACTGAAAAGCAGATTTTAAGATTTACAAACAAAGTCGCATATCACTCACCTGGACTTCAACATTATATTAGTTTTCTTAATAGTTCATTTTTATTGTAAGTTTAACAAAAAAGCAAAATACTGATGAAAGTTTTCCCATCTGCATCAGGAGCGTCTGACCTCGTGGCTCGTCTCGGTGAAGATGGCGATGGATAAAAGAGGACACAGGCTCAACTCGGGCTGGACCAGTGAAAACATGATGAAGATCCTCAACATGGGAACTGACGTCACCAAAGCCTTTGAGTATCTGCTCGCCACCGGAAACCTGGTCTCCAGGACGGGTGAGGACTGAACTGAAGGAGGAATACAAGTGTCTGAGGTTCATCTCTACTGAAATCTGATGCTGTGAGGTTTAAAATGATTCCAAAATTTAGACTAAAGTTGGACTTAATACATCGTTAAATAAAAAGCAAAAAGCAAAGGGGTCCAGTCAAGCAGTAACGGAGGGAAACGGGCAGATTTTTGACATTCAAATGTCTCTTATTCAGAAACTAGAGGAACTATTGAAATAAGTAAAGTATCAGAATGTAGGAAAGAGTTACACTCCAACAGGGTCAAGTTAAACCTGTGAGATTCTTTCAAGTTGTTGACAAAAAATTAAAAAACTCATGTCGGTAACGGAGGGAATGAAATATGCAGCACTTTTTGGGCAATAAATCCAAACAGTGATAACTCTTGGTTCTCACTTACATATCCTTAACAAACTGGTTTGAATATTTGCTTCATATAGTTTTCTACCATATGGTACAAGATTAGGTTGAAAAACCTCTTACTTTTTGACTCATGAGATTTTTTATTAAGAAAGGTCATGGTAACGGAGGGAAAAGTAACGGAGGGAAAATTGTACAAACAAGTAGAAGGTGCAGGATTTTACATCATTTGTCACTTTTTTCTTCTGAATACTTTAATATTACTTCAAAATGAAAGGAAACTATTTCTATAAAATATGTCAGTCCTTCCAAGCAAATTTTTATCATTTTAAATACTTTTTTTTTTTTTTTTTTAATCATGTCCCTTCATCAACAGTTCAAAGATGGAATAACACAAGATATGATGAAATACATCCATTTATTTACATGATTTGCAGGTCTTTGAAATTTGGGAAATAATTTTTGTTCCATGTTTCATACATGGTCTGTTTAAAACGGATGGAACTTTAGAACCAAAAAATGGTTCAGAAAAAAAGGTAAACAGTTTCATAAACTAGAGTACATATGTATCTGTTCAATACATTTTTATATCAGATGAATTAACTTGAATTTTTGGCCTTGTTGTTTACTTCTGCTTGACCGGGCCCAAAGATGACTGCATAAAAGTAACAGAAGGATTATAGTTGAAATAAATGTAAACAAATGTATTTAAATGTTAATAGATTAACGTATTTTTCAGGCTATAAGTTGCACCAGCCAAAAAAATGCATAATGAAGAAGAAAAAAACATATGTAAGTTGCACTTTTTGAGGGAAATTTATTTTTATAAAAATCAGAGACCAGGAACTGATATTTCATGTTGAAAGTCAAGTTCTAGTAAAAACAATAGAAGAGAGAACAACAGACTGTTAACGTCACATATGAACAGTTCTTCAGATAAACTATAACATAAACAACAGAACAGAACAAGTTTAACAAACTCTCCATCTCACTCCAAATCACTAAATCCATTCAATTCGACCTCTGGAGGTAAACAGAGCGTCGCTTCCTCTTCTGTGTCGCTGTCGTCAGACTCGGCATCAGTTCCAGTTAGAATTATTTGGGTCTTTCTGAATCCCGACAGGATGGTTTCGGTGTCACTGAAGTCCAGACTTTGTCCATCCATCCAGTGACTTCAGGAAAGTTTCATGGTGCATCCTCCCGCTGTCACAAGTTTCTCACTCACTCCAAACTTTCTTTCTGCTGCTCGATTATCATTTTCAGCTGCAGATTTCAGGACTTGCAGTTTGTAATCTGCAGAATCTGATTTAGTTTTGGGGGCATTTGTGTTCCGTCTTCTCAGTCTTTGTCTTTATAAGTTTGTTTAAATGTTAATTTGTTCAGAAGTAACGGTGCGATCGACTGACATGATGCAGACAGGACAGAGGCTCTTTCTGCAGGAGACATGCGCAGTAGAGCCAAGTGACAGTGGTACAGGAGGAACAGGAGCAGCAGATAGTCACACACAAGACTAGAACCTCTCCACGCTTCACTCAAACATTTTAATAAATAAGTCACACCTTAGTATAAGTCAGAGGAAACACCCAAACCATGAAAAAAGTGCGACTTACAATCTGAAAAATACGGTAAAAATAGCACTTTTATTTAGAATGAAATCCAGATTTTTAGAATGTAATTTTGTTAAACTCTTGTTGCTGTAGGTGTTTTTTTTTTTCATTAATTATATTTAGAAAGAAAAAGACCAAAAACCTACACATTAACAGTACTATATTTTTGTTGTTCTTCAGGTCTGGGGTTGCTGCAGGGCACTGGTCTCTGCGTTGTGGCCGACAAACTGAACTTCATCCGGTACCTGTCTCACTTCCGCTGTGTGCACAGAGGAGCCGCCTTCGCCAAAATGAGGACCACGACGGTGCGAAAGCTTCTGCCCGAGTCCTGGGGCTTCCTGTGCCCGGTGCACACGCCCGACGGAGAGCCCTGCGGCCTCATGAACCACATGACCTCCACCTGCAGCATCGTCACGCAGACCCAGCCCACCACAGGCCTGCCCGCTCTGCTCTGCTCACTCGGTACGGGAGGAGGTTTTACTTAAAGCAGACCGCAGCCTGACGTGACCCAAATCAGATTTTTTCGCTCCTATGCTCCTGTAGCTGATCTTTTAATGACAGATATAATTTTTTCAAGTGCGACCCAGAACACTTGGATACGTGCTCCTAAAACCGTGTATCATTTGTTAATTCATTTTTCAGTATAAAACCAAAAATAAGAAAATGAAAAAACAACAATTTTCTTCATTGTCTACAAAACCAAAATGAGAAAACAGATAATGATTTGTTGTTTTTTTTTCAGTTTTCGGTTTTGTGTAAAAAGTGTGAATAATGGAAAAAATGGATAACGATTCCCGTTTCTGTGGCTTAAACTGTGATGGACTGAACCAGGACTAAACCAGGACTGAACCAGGACTGAACCAGGACTAAACCAGGACTGAACCAGGACTGAACCAGGACTAAACCAGGACTAAAACCAGGACTAAACCAGGACTAAAAACAGGACTGAACCAGGACTGAACCAGGACTGAACCGGGGACTGAACCGGGACTGAACCGGACTGAACCGGGACTGAACCGGGACTGAACCGGGACTGAACCAGGACTGAACCAGGTCAACCAGGACTAAACCGGTCTCAGTCCCGATCTCCTGACAGTCTATGCGGGTGCACCTCCGGGCCCATCCTGGCATTTGTGGTTTAGTCCTGGTTTCAGTCCTGGTTCAGTCCTGGTTTAGACCTGGTTCACTTCTGTTTTAGTCCTGGTTCAGTCCTGGTTTCCTGGTTCAGTCCTGGTTCAGTCCTGGTTCAGTCACGTTTAGTCCTGGTTTTAGTCCCGTTATCCGTTTTCCCATTATTCATTTAAACAAAATCAAAAACTGGGAAAAACAAATCGTTATCCGTTTTTTTTTTTTTTTTTTTGGTTTTGGAGAGAAATTATTAAGTAAATAGCTGTTTTTTTTTTTTCATTTTCTTATTTTTTTTCATTTTCATTTTTTTTTTAAATGAACACATTACTTGACTAACAGAAGTTACATAAAATTATCTCAAGGTAATTTGCAGCTAAATAAAATTCATCCACTCCGTTCTGTATGTGAGTCTGCCCCAGCGTGAGTGATTTGATGTGTTTGTGTTTGTTATGTTGTTGTTTTGTTGTTCAGGTATGACTCCAGTGGACGGGAGCCCTGGTCAGCCGTACTCAGACTGTTACCCTGTGGTGCTGGACGGGGCTGTGGTCGGGTGGGTCGAGGCTCAACTCGCTCCAGTCGTGGTCGAATCTCTGAGAAGGTTCAAGGTAACAATGGATTTGTACAGTTGTTTTCGTAGGTACTAGACTAATTTGCTGTGTGTGAGGATCAGTGACTTTAAAGGTTGTTGTTAGGTTTGCCTAATCATTGTAAACAAGAAGAAAGACAAGAGATTAATTCAGTTTTACTCGCGAGGAGAACGGGCAGAGAGTGGGCATCAAAACCAACAGTCTCCACACGTTATTTCATTAGGAGGCCCTAGTTACAGAATGATAATTCTCAAGGGGAAACAGCAAAGACATAATAAGAAACTGATGAAGCTAAGCATAGTCCAAACACATAAAACATGATTAACAATCAGGAGGTGCCTTAGGTCAGACACCATCATAACTCTTCATGTGTGACAGTGGGAGTTGGCTTCATGTGAGGAATCATCTCGAGGTTCACAAGAGCAACAGGACACTGCACACAGTTGTCAAACACACAGAGGTTATTCATTTTCATACAAGTGGTTGGTACATTATAAATCAAAGAATTGTAGTTACATAAATGGTTAACTCATAGGCAAAAAAAAAAAAGGAAGGAAGAGAGACAAAAGGAACTTCAATTATAAATTGGCCGCAGTGTATCAATGTTCGGGGGAGCCTAGCGGTGTATTTATGTTGCACTATCACATTTATATTGTTTTGACTTTGTGTTGGTGTGGGTGGTTAGGGGGAAATGGGGGGGCCTTTTTGTATTTGTTGTGGTGTTGTGGTTGTTGCTTTATGTTTTTGTTTTTATGCTGAATATTGCAATTGTTAAACGTTGATGTTTTGTTTTGTTTTTTTTTTAATGTTATGTTCTGCTGTCTTTAATAAAAAAAAAAAATAATAAAAAAAAAAAATTGGTATGTCAAGTCATAAAATTAAAATTAAAATTAAAACTGGTTTCCCATGTGAAATTTAGTAAATACTGGTAGATTTTTTTTTTTTATTGTTGTATGTATGTACTATTTAAAGATTCTATACTACACAAAATTGACTCTTGTGAGTTTTAGGTCATGTTATATTGTTGTTGCCTCCTCAAAAAAAAAAAAACTCATAGGCATAGAATATCACACAAGTATTTAGCAAATATGGGATAATAAAATTATTCTGACAGTTGTACAGAGGATTTTCCAAGGAAAGAGAAATACAAGGACTGTACTTTTTCAAATGTCGCGTATGTGTGACTCACCCCTCCTCCACAGCTCGTCTCCTCCCGCCTCGTCCTTACTCTAGAAATGATGCTTGTTTACAGTCAGCGCTGTATTCAATTGCTGTTGAAATTTCCTGTCCAGAAGTAATTTAGCGCCTGAAGCGTCAGTCTTTAGACCCTTCGTCTGCTTCAGTCGCACCATCGCTGGAAGGAATCTCCAAGAATCAACTTAGTTTGGCTTCGCTCCTTTTCTCCTTCTCTTCTTCTTTCAGCTACAGTTGGAAAAAGCCGCCAAGAAGCACCGAGTTGGTTGAGTAAACGGCGTCTTGTGTATGTGGAATGTGTGAGAGGCGAACGTAAACCACATAATCCCAGCGCGCCGACGACTCAGTTACACTAGAATTGTAGGGAGTTTGATTGACGACCTGACAGCCAATAGATAATCAGATGTAGAGAAGAGGTAGAAAGCTTCACTGGGTCATAAAAAAGTGAAAAGTAGCAGTACAGGTGCTTTACGAGGGTTAAATTTTGCGTCCCTCCATGTAATAAAGGATTTTAAATATATTCAGTTGGTGTTCTTCGGGTTTGTACCTTGTTCATCTTTACATTTTTCAGTAAAGACTACATTTTGTTCAGATGTCAATAAATAATGTTTATCTGGCCCCACCACGTCCACAATTGATGGATTTTCATTCTTTTTTTTTTTTTTTTTGCTCATCATAATTAAAAGGCTGTTGCATCTCTATAAAGCTATTGTGAACTTTCATTGACAATCTGAAACTAAAAAAATCCTCCGTACAACCTTTAATGTCCTTCTGTTCTCTCTCCTCCAGGTGTTGCAGGAGAAGCGGATCCCGGCCTGGACAGAGATCGTCCTGGTCCCTCAGACGGGAAAGGCCAGTCTGTATCCGGGGCTGTTCCTGTTCACGACGCCGTGTCGAATGATGAGGCCCGTCAGGAACCTGGCTCTGGGCAAGGAGGAGCTCATTGGAACATTTGAACAGGTGTGTGTGTTCACTTATACACTTCAGATTTGAGCAGACTGAAGAAAACGTGTGCACTTGTGGCTAAATACGCTTTGCGAACGCTCTAGATTCACACCAAACACACACATCTGGTCTGTTTGAAATCAGAGGTCTCAGTGCCGTCCACGTCCCTGTTTAACTCTTTCCCCCGTGAAGACGACATTTGACGACCCCCCCGTTCCCTTAATGACGACTTTTGACTCCTCCGCTGTATCACTAAAGACGAGATTTGACGACCTTTAGAAATGGCTCGGTTTTTCACATTTAAACAGAGACTGTGATAGGTGGGGGCCACTACAACCCACACTAGACTGACCAATAGGATTCAAGGATATGTTTTCGATTAACTTCGGAAAAAATTGGCGAATTGGCGAAGTAGTGACGATGGTAGCTTCTGGAAAAAACACAACACGAAACACGTGCAATGGAAAGATCGCGGTGCTGCGGCGCACAGTTTTAGAAATAATGAGGAGTGGACGTATTTTATGGATAAGTTTAGAGAAAGTGACTTTTATTGATTTCAAAGTGATGATGAAGTTGATTATAAAGTGGAAAACAGCGACAGCGACGGACTTTCAGAGAGTGAATCTTACGATAGTGAGAATGCCGCTGATGCGTCTGTGTGGAGTCCTGCGATATCCAAACAAACTATCTGGACTTTATACTCGATTATGAACCAAAATTGCCCTGAAATCTGGATGTTGCCCAGGCCAGTCCTTTAAAATATTTCAGTCTTTTTTCCAAGATGCGACGTATAACAGAATCACTACAGAAACAAACTCTTATGTGAAGCTCTGCACATGAGAAAATAGCCAAGATGACAAATACTGAACACACACTGACGGGGAAGAGTTTTATTATTATATTATTATATTATAATGAGCTGAATTAGTTGAATAAATAAAATAAGTTGAATAAGCTAGATGGAAAAAATGAATTAGGTGCACACAGGTGAACAACAGGTAAAAACAGGTGCACACTTGGTTATACTGTATCTACTGATATGAAATCTGTTTAAATACTTTGACAAAGTATATTTTTAATTTTTTTTAAGAATATAGTTCTCAGAACATGTATATATAAGATGCTGAATGTAGTTTTTTGTTTTCGATTTTGCACCTGACCAGGTAAACTCTCATATTCAGTGAGCTGTTATAAACCTGTAAATGAGCTGAATCACATTTAAACATCCAGAAATGAAGAGTTCAGAGTCTAAAGTTTCCAGAGATACAAATATGTCTGTGTTACAATTAAGTTCATGAGTGTAAAATTAATTTATAATCACTCGTGGAAGTCTGTTTTCTTTTATGCAGTGATGCTCTATCTGTGGTCCTAGTAACATATGTCTGGGTTGTTCCTAGTCGGCGTCCAGGGGGGAAAGAGTTAATGGTTTTAGTCCAGCCTTTAAATTCCAGTCAGATGAAACCAATCAGAACTGTGTCATGGGACCTTTTCAGACTGGACACTGTTGTACCGTACTTGGAAATCTAGAATTATGTCAAATGGGTTTTAGAGCCGACTCTTACTGTGGTGATCAGAAGTAGTGATTGGTAAAGCAAAATATCAGTCCAAAGATTCCACCATTTTGAGTGTTTTGTTTATGAAACTCTAACACTGGATCCGCTGAGTCAAAAAGCTTATGGGCTGCGAGCTCTGACAGGTGTTAAATGACCCAGTAGACCAGGGCGGGGCAGTTATTTTTTCCATGGGGCCACATGAGAGACAGAAAATATTGTGAAGGGCCAAAATGCTTAACTCAGTTTTGCGTAACATTAATTGTATTTCTTTATAAAAAACACAGAAAATGTCATTGCTTTGACGAGCTGGTCAGACTGGTAAGAGTTTATATTATGACTAAGCAACGAAAAATTGAGATTGCCTTCCAAAAAAGTAATCAAAAAATACCTCTAAAATAAAAGCAATGCAGCTTTAGTCCACGCATGAGGTAAAATGATAAAATATGTTTATTTTGTAATTCCAAATGAGCTTAAACGAGCCGGTCAGAGTTAAACAAAGTGCTCAGTCCTGCAGTAGATTTAGAGTAAAATGGTGTCTTATTCAGTGGCTCATTTATGGATGGGACACAAGATATAACTGATACTTTGCGGTGACATCACACTGGGGGTGCTCTACATGTATCTGTATGGTGGAATGTTCAGCAGTTACCATGGTGACACTACACAGCAAAAAGTGAAGTGTTAAAATTGACTCACAGAATCAATTTGAACATTTTTTCAGGGTTTATATGAGTCCAATTTGTTCTAGACTGACTGTAATTTAACATTATTGGAAATGGACCAAAGTTCCTGTTTAACCCCGAAATCAAGAGTTATATTAATGTTTTGAGAGTAAACAGATAACACTTTGTAGGGTTATCCTGATTTAGCCAAACAACACACGGAGATGGTTTACTTTTACACTTTATTTTAGTTAATATAAGATGAAATTATGAAGAAAACTGGTTCAAACTGGTCTTCTCTCACGGAAATTTGAAGTGGTGGGTGTGAGGAGCCAAATTAACACTAAGGGAAGTTGAATTAACTTCAACCATATCAACTCTAACAAATAACCCCAACTCAAACCCCCATTTAACTTTCAGATAGTTAAAATAGTCCAGTTTCTATGCTGAGTCTATGTGGACGCGCGTCCAGGGCGTCCTGCGTGGTGTGAATCTGGCGTTGACGGCTGACGGCTACAGCGTTTTGCCGTCAGTGTCAGAATTTGAAAATGCTGGACTTGTCATGTCAGATGTGCCGCGTCAACCAATCAGGGACGAGTATCCAGTGATGTAGCGACGTCATTTTACAGAAGAAAGAGAAAGACCCGAGAACCGAAGCAGGAGTCACAAACATTAGCAAAGTATAAATATATATACGCCGCAATCATGGAGCCGCCAGGACTGGACCAGAACCGGACTGGACCGGACTGGACGGGACTGGACCAGGACTGGACCGGGACTGGACCAGGACTGGACCGGACTGGACCAGGACTGGACCGGGACTGGACCAGGACTGGATCAGTGTCATTAGCGGAGTTTACATATATATATACGACACAATCGTTGAGCTGATTTCCTCCGCTGATGGTTTTATGTAATAAAAACACCATCGTTTTGGAAAAAGATCAGGAGTGGGCATGTGTTTCCAGGGCAACGGACGTGCATCAAGTATTTTTCTCCCGTTCGTCCACAGCGTCCAAGACTCGCATCGGGGGTGTCTCAACTCAAATGCAAAAGCGTCCAAATAGAGGCGTCTAGGGTGATTTTTGACGCTTTGTTCTGAACGGGACTTTAGGTTTTGTTATTTTTTCCAACAGTATTTATTGTTTACATCCATGACCATAGATGTATTGACTACAGCTTATATGAAGTATTACTCGTTCGTACGTTCTCCAGCTGTACTTAAACGTGGGCATCCTGGAGGGTGAGATCGAGGCCGGCGTCACGTCTCATCAGGAGCTGTTTCCTCACACGATGCTCAGTGTCGTCGCCAACTTCATCCCGTACTCCGACCACAACCAGAGCCCCCGCAACATGTACCAGTGTCAGATGGGTAAGACTGACCACAAAAATGTTTACGTTCCTCTATACCTTATTTTGTTCATGTTTTCAAAGTAAAATTTGTTTTAACGCAGAGCAGATAGATTGTAAAAGCAGCTGTTCACGGGTCAAAATGTCTAATCTGATTTGTTTCTAACATGTTTTTATCTTCAGTAAATGTGGTTTGTCCACACTTTTCTAACACATTCACTGTAATATGTTTCTAAGTTTGGATTTTTTATGCTTAGGAGCTTCAAGTAATGTACAAATGTAATGTAAAATCCAAGCAAAGATGGATTTAACACAGCTACAACAGTATTTTAGAGATAATTTTATTGTTTTATCCAGTTACAGTGTATTGCCAAAACATCCTACTTTTTTTCCCCCTATATTTTTACAGTTTTTTGTTTTACTGAAATTGATTTAAATGGCCAATAGAATAGAAATGCTGTTGTTAAGTGAGAATTTGTTGTTTAAAATTGTTAACTTACATCAGAACACTGGCATTTTCACCTAGACTTTCTTCCTCATATGCATCTTTTCTCATTTATCTTTTATTTTCTCTCCGTAGGTAAGCAGACGATGGGCTTCCCTCTGCACTCGTTCTTGAATCGCTCTGATAATAAACTGTACCGGCTGCAGACTCCACAGAGCGCCCTGGTGAGACCGTACATGTACGACCACTACAACCTGGACAACTACCCCAGCGGCACCAACGCTGTCGTGGCCGTCATCTCCTACACCGGCTACGACATGGAGGACGCTATGGTGAGAAACAACAAACACCTTCTTTATTAGAAAATGTTTTTAGCTTGTATTATTATAACTAGGGATGGGCATGATTAATCGATTAATTGATCATTGATCATTAAGAATTTCATCGATTACATTAATTTTAATCAACAAACCGAATGTAGGTGTCTCTGTGTATCGTGACCAAACAGGTGTGTACATGTGTCTCTGCATCAGAAGGAGCGAGACACAAACAGTGGGTCAGTCTGTAACGAACCGAAGCACAAATGTGGATTTAACGATGATTTGTACAAGAAATTCCACACTTTCCGTTGCGTTGGGACAAGTGTGAGTCCATGTGCACAGTGTATAAAGCAGCACATATGTTTCTGTGTCCAGTGGGAAAAAGTTTTTCCAGGTGAGAGTCGCTCAATGTGGATGACGAGGCCCCGCCCCCCTCCCCCCGTACGCTGTCCTGGTTTTGACAAACACAAATCTGGTCACACTAACCTGTATTCACCTGAGTCATGTCTTTTAATCCGACAAAAACTGAACCACATCAGTGACACAAGAGCTGGAGTTTTTATCTTCGCTGAGTTTATGTAAATTAGTGATGTGGTTTTAAGTTTTGTTTCTGAGTTGAACAAAACTGAATTAAACACATTATAATGTCAAACAGCTGATGTGGCTCTAGAGTCGTTACGGTTTATATGTCGTAAAGTTGAATTTATTTATGCAGATTAGTGCAGATAGTAATAATAATGATGATCATTTTAATATAAAAATGTTAATGATTAATCGATAATAAGAAATTAAGAAAATTTCATCGAATGCCCATCCCTAGTTATAACGTATCTCCTGTGGATTTATTGTTCAACTAATCTTGCTGATTAATTGGAAGGAGACTTTAGGCTGACACTCACTACAGGAGAATTTGCCCGATTTTGGCTGCGATTTGCTTCTCCCCGAGTTCAGGAGGTGTGACCCGACTTTGTGTCTTTGTGTGCGATTTTGAAGCCGCTGCTCCTCGTGTGTCGTGAAACTCTGAACTGCTCTGTCAGATTATAACCACCAAAGCAACTCTACGATAATAGTTGATAAAACAGAGCGTGATGGACTCAGAGATGCAAAATACAAACTCAGGATTGAGCAACAATAATGAAAAGATTTTATTCCTCGCCTCTCGTAAAGCGGTAACTTTAAAGTGCTGCATCTCGTCCACATTATCCATAGAAATGATCCTCCGTAGATAATGACTCCAGTCCACAAAACAGCGCTATTAATCCAGTTTGAAAGGAAAAAGGGGAGAGTAGCTCCTTATGTGTGTCACGGATCGAGGTGAAGCTGCAGATTAGTGACAGTGACTCCAGTCCAATGAGGTTCATTTGGTTTTCCGATAATTTGTTATTCGGTTCTTTTTTCAGACAAAGAATTTGTTTTCATACCTGACAGTTTTGACTGCTCACGAGCGGTTTTCCTCAGAGTCACGTGATGTTTCTGTGACGTGTCGCTCAGCTGATTTGAACAGGTTTTGTCTCTGTTTTCCTACCGGTGGAGTCAGGACGACGGCGCCACCTGCAGTCTGACTTCCTCAGGACAGTATCCCACCTTTACGATGAAAACAAACTCTTGTTCTAAAAAAAGAACCTAATAATATCGATAGTGATTCTACTTCTTTCATGTATCTGAAGTTTTGCACCACATTTCACAAATAACAATAACACAGTTTTGATTTGGATCTAAACTAGAAGTGCAGAGCTCTGATCTTTTGAACACTTGAGTAGTTTTACTGTAGACAGGAAACAGGTGAAGCAATCGCTCTCACAGCTTTATATCCTGTGGTCCACAGACTTATCCCACTGCAGTTTTTGCGATCAGAGGTTTAAAATCTCATAAAATTCTCCTCGTATCTGTGGTGTGCTCTTTTTGTTTAAAAATTGCTTAAGACCAAAAAAGTCCTGTAGTGTGTGGCAGCCTTTACTCTTCTTCTTCATAGAAGGAAGACGTGACACCGCAGGGCCACAGATTTTTGTAATGAAAACACATGAACACATGTGACTGATTAAAATCATAGAAATAACATTATCCTGGAGGCAAGCAAGAGGCAAAACCTCCACCAGAAAATTTAAATAGTGGGAAATATTCCATGGGAGAATGAAATCAAAACTTAACCAAAGCCAAGTTAAGGCTTGTCAAGACTTTTTGAAAATGTTATATTGACAATCTCCTTCCTGTTTTTCCAGATAGTGAATAAGTCTTCCTGGGAGCGCGGTTTTGCACATGGCTGCATCTATAAAACGGAGGTGGTGGATCTGTGTGATAAAGTTCGAGGGGAGGACGCTGTGGTTTTCGGGACTAAACCTGGAGACCCCAAAAACACGGACAAACTGGACCCGGACGGACTGCCCTTCATCGGCTCCACGCTGCAGTACGGAGACCCTTTCTACGGCTACATCAACCTCAACACGGGCCAGAGCTTCACCACCTTCTACAAGTAAGACTCCAGATCAGCAACTAGAGCTTCTGAACCTGATGTTAAACTGATAATGGAGCAACAGACTCGGTTTTCAGAAGTCAGTTAGTAAATCGTCACAGTTTTATTCAGCGTTTTTTCACTTTCAAGGCTCTCAAAGCTCTTTTAAAACAAGAAACCACTCACCAACTCACACATTCACACACCAATGTACGCAGACACTGGGGGTGAAGTGAGTTAAGTGTCTTGCCCAAGGACACAACAACAACATTCATCTGTGGGAGCTGAAATCGCACTGCCAACCGTCTGATCATTGGACAAAAACGCTCACACTCAACTGAGCTGCTGTCGCCCGAATTTCTCCTTCATTTTTCCTCTAGACTTTCTTTTCTGTTTTTATTTCTGTTTTTATTAGAAAAAGTTTGGCATCTTTACAATCAGTAATATACCAGAACAATCCTAGTCCTTTTCTGTTTATTTTATTTTTATTTTTAACAAAAAACAACAACAAAAAAAAAAAAAAAAAAAAACAGTGCAAGGAGTGTCCAATCTTTTTCCTCTGGTGAACTATCTTTACAAAATGAAAATTCCAGAGAGCTACTCATTTCAACAGTCGCAGGAATATAGTGTATATAAGAGCTGTGCCAATCCATAGTTTGACGCTTATAAAACATAAACCATTATCCAATATTAGTGCACAAAGTTAGGCATCAAAATGATACATTTACAATGGTAACAGGTAGTGTTGGGCGAATGGAGCCTCGTGAAGCATTGACACGTCAGGTTCAATATTGTCTCAAATGGTTCGACGTGTCTGAGGCCTCGGAGAAACACTGACCTCTAGTGGACAAATTTAACCATTGTCACGCAGGCGTCTCAGCATCGATGAAGTATTGTTAGTGTAAGACAACACTTGTGTGCAGAGAGACACCGTACCTAACAACAACAATAATAATGATGATTTAAAATAATATGTAAAGAGCAACATAAATAGCAGCTGTAAATAAGAAAATAGGTGTTATCTTGTTAGGTGGAATTAGATCAAAGTGATCCAAACCATGGATCGATTTTTTTCACTTGTAGACGCCATCGAAAATTAAACAAATGCCAAAAGTCGCCAAAATCACCACTAACGTCACACAATCCTCCTCACTACCCAACATGTTTAAGAAATATTGGTGCGTCTTTTATACTGTAGCAGTTTAGCGCTCGTCAAACCACAGAAGTGCACTGAACACTCTGAAGCTCTGAACCAATCACAGAGCGGAACATTCGCTGAGCCAATGAAACGCTTCGATACACTGAAGCGATCGACACACAGAGCGAAGCAGCAGGGGGAGGGACCGACACTCCCACACTTTGGTCACGTGAGCGGCTGCTGCGAGACGAGCTCCGAGGCAGAAAGAAGGAGACGTGCTCCAGAGCTCCGACTCATTTGCCCGTCACTAGTAACAGGCATTTAATTAATCTAATTTGAGTTTTACAGCACAGTAAGTATAATTTTGAAATCTCTTGGCGAGCTTCTTGGAAGGTGGTGGAGAGTATCACTGTTACAATGTTACATGATACATTTACATGAGTCACTCCAAATCGGCACAAAAGACTGATACAAACTGGATTAGTTTTTCCCAAATTTTATAGATTTTTTTGGGTTCTAGGGGTGTGTGTCCATTTTTGCCTATTTTCTTACTTTCTGAATGTTCTGAGATGCATATCGTGATGTTATTGTATCGAGAGATTTGGATATCGTTACATGTTTATTTTAAGTAGAGAATTGTAAGATTAAAAAAAAAGATGTTGACTGTTTTTATATCAAAAACTCAACAGGTGGAACAGAGCATTTCGAGCTCCAGGTCTGTTTATGCTGAAGTAACGACATTATATATCGTGGCTTAAAGCTCACAGGAGTTAATTTTAGGACTTTTAAAACAGATATTTAAGAATTATAATTTCCCCCTCTATTTTTTTTTCCAGAAACCAGGAGTCCGGTGTGGTGGACAACATCAAAATCTGCAGCAACGACCTGGGCACCGGCCACTTCAAACGCGTCTGCATCACCATCCGGATCCCGCGAAACCCCACCATCGGAGACAAGTTCGCCAGTCGCCACGGTCAGAAGGGCATCCTGAGCCGCCTGTGGCCCACCGAGGACATGCCGTTCACCGAGAGCGGCATGACCCCGGACATCCTCTTCAACCCGCACGGCTTCCCCTCCAGAATGACCATCGGGATGCTCATCGAGAGCATGGCCGGGAAGTCCGCAGCCCTGCACGGTCTGAGCCACGACGCCACGCCTTTCACCTTTTCCGAGGAGAATTCTGCTTTGGAATACTTCGGGGAGATGCTGAAAGCTGGAGGATACAACTACTACGGCACGGAAAGAATGTACAGCGGTGTGAGCGGCTTGGAAATGGAAGCGGACATCTTTATCGGAGTGGTTTACTATCAAAGGCTTCGGCACATGGTCTCGGATAAATTCCAAGTCCGGACGACGGGAACGAGGGACAAAATTACCAACCAGCCAGTCGGAGGCAGGAACATCCAGGGAGGAATCCGGTTCGGGGAGATGGAGAGAGACGCGTTACTGGCTCACGGTTCGTCCTTCCTCCTTCACGACCGTCTGTTTAACTGTTCAGATCGCTCCGTCGCTCAGATTTGCGTCGATTGCGGGAGCCTCCTGTCGCCGCTGTTGGAGAAACCGCCTCCCCACTGGTCGTTCACGAAGCACAGGAAAACCGTGTGCACGCTGTGTGGGAAGAGCGAGTCCATCGACACCGTGTCCGTGCCCTTCGTGTTCAGATATTTTGTGGCGGAGTTGGCAGCCATGAATATAAAAGTCAAATTAGATGTGAAATAATGCGGCACTGCGGAACTTTTCTGTTAGAGGGTTTGGCAGCTGTTTGTCTAAATGGAAATGTTATTGCTTTAATTCCAAAAATATGTAATTTGTTTTCATTTTACCGTATTTTGCTCACTATAGAGCAGTCTGGATCATTAAATGGTCTATTTTCGAAATGTTTTCACATATAAACCGCACCGGACTATAAGGCGCATTAAACGAAACACAACAGTTAGATAAGTTAGTCAAACTTTATTTAACGCGTTCACAATAACTCTCAAATTTGTTCAAATGTAACGCGTAAAAAAAATACTGTCTGAGACTCTAAACTGTTAGAGTTTTCACAATAAGTCATAATAGTTGAAACAGTTGGGCGATTACGGCGTCCACACGTCCACATCCCTCTGGTCATGATCCGAGTCAGTGTGGTTACTGTTCCTTGGCAGTTCAGTTCAGTGATGAATCGGGTCTTGGCGAAAACTCGGACCACAGTTGATCCTGATCCTTCGCCCGGGCGTCCACGATCCGTCGGCAGATCGTGGTGTAAGTGGCTCGGCGCTGTCTCTCTGTCTCTCTGTCTCTCTGTCTCGGTGATTGTGTGTTTTTTCTCTCATCCACTGCTCCCACGCAGCTCACACTTTCACTTTATAACAGCCTTGAGTTTAAAGTGGACGTTGTGAGCGTGTCTCTTGACAGGTGCATTTTGATATTAAAAGGAATCACAGTCTGTATTACTCCTGATGCTCCTGACTGCGGGAGCCGTAATGCTGCAAGTGGAGCGGCTTTGTAGTTTACTAAAGTCGTACTAAGATGCCCCCATAAATTCATATATAAGGCGCTCTGGATTATAAGGCGCGCACTTGTTTTTGGATGAAATTAAAAGGCTTTTAAGTGCGCCCTATAGTACGGAAAATATGGTATATTCAAAAATAGGGATATAACAATAAACAAAATACTGTGATTTTGTATCACTAAAAGTCTCACAATAATATCGTGGGCTGTCAAAATATATCGAATTAAACGTTTCTTTGCTTAAATGCAGGTTTTATAGTAACAACAGCGTAAAAAAATCAGAAACTACATTTCCCATGATTCATTTCAGCGCAAACAACACGAAGAAATATGTTTTTGACTTGAATTCTTGGGATTATGACAGAAATAATTCACACAAAAATCTTGCCAAGGTATTTTAAAAGCTAAAAAGTGTTGCATCTACATTTATTTTTCTTCAAAATATCACAAATATCGCACCGTGAGATGCATATCATGATAATATCATACCGAAAGATTTAGATATTGTCACATACGTGTTAAAAAAAACTTACATATAGTTTTCCCTGGAATGTTCCACTGTAGCTTTGAACTTATCTCCGTGAAGCAAAGATGTGACACTACAGGGCCACACTTTTTAAGTAATAAAATCACTAGGGGTGTGCAGGAATATCGATATATCGTATAGTTTAATGTGATGATACAGTATCAATATCATGGGCTGCTGCATCGATATCTCACCAAGAGTATTTTTTGGTATATTTGACTAAATTATTTAGTTACAGCTACAGTTTTGTTGCTTGTTCAGAGGAAGGAAACTTGTTTATGCGACACATTTGACATTTTCACTGTTTTGATGATTAAAATGTTTGTGTCTCATATCAACATTGCAGCTTAACAAAGACTTTTAGTATCACAGCCATGATTTAGCCTTTATTTTTTTATTGAACTGTATCGAATCGATTTGAGATGTATCATATCGAATCGAAAGTGCACTGTTTTGAGATATGTGTCATATCGAGGCCTCAAATAAATGCAAAAATCCATATTATGATACAATTCAGTAAGGCTGGGCATCATCGAGAAGTTGCCGATATGATGCATACCTCGATACACTGCACTTTCGATTCGATACGTTATATTTCAAATCAGTTTGATATGGTTCAATATAAAAAAAGCTAAATCATCAATCAAGTCTTTGTCAAACCACTTCTTGCACAAAGTGAATGTGAAACTAAAACACTTTAATCAGTTTTAAACAGTTAAAATGTCAAATGTGTCGCATAAATGAGTTTCCTTCCTCTGGACAAACAACAAAACTGTAGCTGTAACAAAATAATTTAGTAAAATAAACCAAAAAACACTCTTGGTGATATATCGATACAGCAGCCCACGATATCGGTACTGTATCATCACATTAAACTATACGATATATCGATATTTCAATATTTTTGCACACCCCTACAATTCAGGCAAACATTTCCATGGAGGCAAGCACCTGCCAAACTCTCCACTAGAAAAGGGTCTGTGTTTTTTATTTCAGTTAAGAACAAAATCTATTAAATGGGAAAACCGTTTATTTCATTATTCTGTCTCATTTCCGATATTTATTTTAAAGTTTATTTCAGATAACACCAATCAAAAAACAGTCTCAGTGCCTATTTCAATTTTGATATTTTATTCTCTCTGGTTTAGATGAAGTTCTGCTGCTAGAAGAGAATAAAATATTAAAATTGCAAAATTGAAATAGGCACGATGAAATAAAGGTTAAAATCTAATCTAATAAGTTTTCCCATTTTATTGTTTTTCATTCTTAATTGAAATACAAAAGAACGAATGATACACGGACCGAAAAGTTCCACACCGCTTCTGTAAAGTGAAATGATTTCTAGTAAAACGGCTTTTGTTGATATGCAGATGTTTTGAGTTTTTGTCAGTGTGATTAGATTTGTCACTAAAACAAATGGACAATTATGAACTTTGAGTAGAGGAATACTTGATCCAGTCTAAAGATAATTGTATTTTTGGAAAGAACTGTTGAAAAATAGACATGTTTTAAGACATATTTCGTTGTTTGGGAACATTGAAGATGACCGCAATGATTAAATGTACAAAAGATTTCAAGCTTCTGTTGTCAATCTTATATTTTATTAAAAAGAATATCTAAAAAAAGTGTTGGTCATTTCACACACCGTCATCACAATAACCCTGTTTTAAAACACATTTCATTTGATCAGTTAGTCGATTTATTATTTGATACAAAAAATCGGTAACTTTATAATAACTACACCTTATTTAGCCTTAAAGGTTGTATAGAGGATTTTTTAAAGGGAAGACAAATAGAGCGACAGTCCTTTTTCAAATGTTGTGCATGTGTGACACCACCTTCCTCCTCCACAGCCTCAGTAGAAACACCTCCTCCCGCCTCTTTACTCTAGAAATCACGTTTGTTTACAGCCGGTGCACATTCAGAATTACTGTTGAAGTGACCCGTCTAGAAATAATTTAGCGACCGACGTGTCAGTTTTTAGACCCTTCGTCTGCTTCATTCATGCAGTCGCTGGAAGAAATCTCCAAGAATCACATGTTTGGTTTTGCTCCTTTTCTCCTTCTTTTCTTCTTTCGGTGACCTCAAAAACAGACTTTCTTTTGCGGCGAACTGGTCGTGGATTCTCGTCCGCCATCGCAACAAATTTTGTGTGAACTGCGAGGAAACTACAGTTTAAAAAACCTCTAAGAACCGCTGCATAAACCACATAATCCCCGCGCGCCGGCGAGTCATTTACACTAGAAACGTAGGGAGTTTGATTGACAACCTAACAGCCAATAGAAAATGAGGGAGCCTTGTTTTCTATTGGCTGATGTTTATCTGCCCTCACTATGTCCATAGTTGATAGATTTTCATTCTTTTTTTTTTTTTTAGTCAACATAATTACAAGGCTGCTGCATCTCTGTAATGGTATTTTAAACTTTCATTGACAATTTGAAACAAAAAAAAATCCTCCATACAACCTTTAATAAAGCATGAACAAAGACTTAATTAATAATGAATAAAAACTTAATGATTCACGCTTAGTAACTACTTAATTACTGCCTTAATTCACACTTGCACTAAATTTGCCTGTGCTGTAAATAGTTACTCATAATTATTTCATACTTAATTACTCATGAACTAACCATTTGAGCATTTATTCATCATTATTAAACTATGAGAATGATTTACTAATAATGCAATGCAATGATAATTCAGGCAGCTGTTATCTGTTAAGTCTTTTTGAGAGCTTTTCTAAAGTGAAGACGAATTACGCTTTATTAAACATTTACTAAGCGTGAATCATTATTAATTAAATCTTTTTTCATTATTAATTAAGTCTTTGTTCATGCTTTATTAAGACTAAATAAGGTGTAGTTATTATAAAGTGTTACCAAAAAATCATTTAATAATACATTGATTTCAGACAGATACAGCTTTTATCCCAATCAATACTGTAATTATGTAGATGTGATTTAAAGAAATGCTTAATTGAAATGTATCTATAAACATATAATACATAAAAACAGTGTTTAATGAGAAACATGAATGTAAAAGTTAAAGGAAATACAACAAAAGTCTTCAAATCCTAATCCCAGCTACAAGAAGAAACCTGAATGTTTAGTGTGTATTGGTCCAGGAAGGGCATCTGACATAAAATAAAGTCCAGCACATGAGTTTATACATACAGTAAATCGTAATAAATAACTGGAAACTGCAATATTAATCTAAAATTTAGCCATTTTTGACTCACATCTTCATAGTATCAAGCAGATTGTCATTTTAGTGTTTTTATTTTTGACTCATGTCTCTCAGGTCACGACATGTATTAATTAGTCACTTAATTTGTCAAATAATTACATGGGGGGTAGGTGTAAACTGACATTTTCTGAACACTCAAGGCTCAAATGCAGAACAATACTAGTCTGATTCATCACTTTGTAGAAACCGTCTGACCTCGCAGCGTTAGGATTCGTTCGCTCGACGGTAGGCAGGTACTTTTTTATTTAACCAATCGCTGCTGTTTGGTCGTGACGTATGTTGTATCGGGATTAACTGGTATATTAAGTTTTTCCCAAATCCTGTAGGAAGAAGAACAATAACGTCTTTCCCCTTGATGAAATTCACCAAACATTCTCTTTGTCCCATTTTATTCAAGGATTTAAAGCTGGAACAAAGTGTGCACCCACGTAGACTGTTGGGTGATCAGGACTGAACCAGAACTGATCCAGGACTGATCCCAGGACTAAAACAGGACTAAACCAGGACTGAACCAGGACTGAACCACGCTCCGGTCTTAGTCTCAGTCTGGTGTCGGTCTCGGTCCCGGTCTCAGTCTCCGTCCCGGGCTCAGTCCCGCTTCTGGTCTGGTCCCGGTCTCGGTCCCACTCCTGGTCTGGTCCCGGTCTCGGTCCCAGTCTCAGTCTCAATCGCGGTCTCAGTCCCGCTCCTAGTCTCAGTCCTGGACTCGGTCTCAGTCGCGGTCTCAGTCCTGCTCCTGGTCTCAGTCCCGGTCTCAGTACCAGTCCTGCTCCTGGTCTGGTCTCAGTCCCGGTCTCAGTCCCGGTCTCAGTCCCAGTCTCAGTCCCAGTCTCAGTCCCAGTCTCAGTCCCGCTCCTGGTCTCGGTCCCACTCCTGGTCTGGTCCCGGTCTCAGTCTCAGTCTCAGTCCCGCTCCTAGTCTGGTCCCGGTCTCGGTCCTGGACTCAGTCGCGGTTTCAGTCGCGGTCTCAGTCCTGCTCCTGATCTCAGTCCCGGTCTCAGTCCTGCCCCTGGTATGGTCCCGGCCTCAGTCCCGGCCTCAGTCCCGGCCTTGTCCTGGGCTTAGTCCCGATCACCCGACAGTCTACGTGGGTGCACACTTGGTCCTGTTTTAGTCCTGGTTCCGTCCTAGTTCAGTCCTCCTGTTTAGTCCTGGTTTAGTCCTGGTTTAGTCCTGGTTTAATCCATTATCCATTTTTTCCATTCTTCATTTAAACCCAAAATCAAAAACTGAAAAAATGAATCATTATCCGTTTTTTCATTTTGGTTTTGGCGACAAATAATGAAGAAAATCTTAGTTTTTTTACTCTCTTATTTTAGTTTTATTTTGAAAACGAACGACACGTGGATCTAGTTAAGTTGGGCCAGCACTCGCGGCAGCTCCAGAACGTTCGATATCGTGAAGTGCGGTTTAATACTTTCGCTCTCGCTGCTCCCTGGTCTTTTGATCCAAACTGTAGCTCTGACATTCGCCTTCAGCCCTCCTTGAATATCGGTATCGAGCGAATCGCCGACCATAACGCAATCCTGAGCCTCCACTCCCAGCATCTCAAAACACATCCTGAAAATCAACACCGACGGCTTCTGCTCCTCGTGCTCTCCTCCCACCACAACCTCGTCGAAGAACTCCTCGCTGTTCGAGACTTCCACCTTCTCCCGTTGAGTTTGCGTTACGCCGTTGGTCAGAAGCAGCAGTTTGTATCTCGTTCTCAGGTGGACGAGGAGCGCCTGGACCTCGGGGGACATGGTGAGCAGCTGAAGACGGCTGGATTTCCATAACCTGTAGCAGTCCGAACCGAAGGACTCGCCGGGACAGGAGCCCACGGTCTCTCGGACGCTCTCCTCCCAGTGCTGAGAGCGCAGCTGGTCGATGGTTTTTCCCGACAGCGGGTTGAAAACTTCGTGGTAAAGTTTCTGTTTGAATCGGCTGCAGATGGTTTCGGTGGAAGCGTCGTCGAGATTCAAGCTGGATTTTAGAAACTCGCCAACCTGGAAAAAAACAAAAGGTTAACAAGATTTTTAAAAATGAAAACAGGGCATCCCCACGTTTGACTACCCCAAATTTAAGACTTTAAGACCTTTTTAAGACCACATCGCAACAGTGGCAAAAAACACCACATCCAATTCTAATAATCACCAACCAACTATGGAACTAAATCCATGTATCATTCGTTCATTCGTTTTTCAATATAAAACTAAAAATAAGAAAACAAAAAAACAACACTTTTCTTCGTTATTTGTCTCCAAAACCAAAATGAAAAACAGATAACGATTCGTTTTTTGAGTTTTCGATTTTGTGTTTAAATGAAAAATGGAAAAAACAGATATTATCGTTTCCCGTTTACGTGACTTCTGTGACTGCGATGCCGGACTTTTGCACCGCGTACGGACTGAACCAGGACTGATCCAGGTCCGAGACCAGACCGGAACCAGTCTCAGTAGTGCTCTGGTCCCGGTCTGGTCCCGGACCTGGTCCATTTGAACCAAAAGCTCTTAGTTCGGTTCGTTTTCGTTGATGTGAAAGCGTCAGTTGGATGCTGCACCACCTCGGAACCAGCCGTGGTTCTTGAGCGCGGAGGACCAGAGCAGCTCGTCCGGACCTGTAGTCCACAGAACATTCTCACTTTCCCCACAAGGAACCAGCGCGCAGACGATGACACGGAACCGCTCGGACCGCTGGTCTCTGTCTCAGTTCCGCTCTGGTCCCGGTCTGGTCCCGGTCTCAGTCCCGGTCTCGTCCCGGTCTGGTCCCGGTCTCAGTCCCGGTCTCCAGTCGTCTCAGTCCCAGTCTGGTCCCGGTCTGGTCCCGGTCTGTCCCGGTCTCAGTCCCGCTCTGGTCCCAGTCTGGTCTCGGACCTGGATCAGTCCGTATGCGGTGCAAAAGTCCGGCATCGCAGTCACGGAAGTCACGTAAACGGGAAACGGTCGTTATCCGTTTTTTCCATTTTTCATTTAAACACAAAATCGAAAACTGAAAAAACAAATCATTATCTGTTTTTTCATTTTGGTTTTGGAGACAAATAACGAAGAAAAGTGTTGTTTTTTCTTATTTTTGGTTTTATATTGAAAAACGAATGAACGAATGACACACGGATTGTACTAAACCTACACTTCCCCATGATCCATCCAACGTCTTCCTCCACTCTACTGATTGTTTACTCTTTGCCGCCAGCGCCTGAAACCAAAGTATTGTTTGCACAGACTCCAAATTAAACGTTCATGATTTCACGTTGTTTTTTTCCTCCCTCTGTTTAACGTCGCACTGCAGTCCGGTTGAGTCTACAAAAAAATAGGCTAATGAAATTTAAGACCTTTGTGAAAAAAAATAAGACTTTGGCAACATAATTTTAGACTTTTTAAGGCCTTAAAGGGATAGTTTCGGGTTTTTTGACATGAATCTGTATGGCATCCCCATGACTTACCCCCGACTGCGTCCGGTGAGCCGAGATACTGGTCGTTTTCGGTGCTGACTAAAGTAGTCCGGCAAGTTGGCTTGGGACTGTATAATAAAGCGTTTTTCTTCTCAAAACAACATGTGTTCAAAAGAGTGATACATTTGCATCACAAAACCTTCATCCTCAAAAAAGTCAGACCTCATAATCGCTTGGCACTATTTTCTCTCCGTTCGTATCACTGCGCGTTGCCGCATGTCAAAAAACCCGAACTATCCCTTTAATTTAGGAACATGAAATTTAAGACCTTTTTAAGACTTTTAAGACCCCGTGGCTACCCTGGAAAACCAGTATTTGTCGACAACAGTTCGTGGCAAATCCAGAATAAAATCTCTCTCAACATGTCTCTCTCGTTTTTCAAAGGAAAAACATTTCCATGGAAACAAACAGGAAGAGGCCCTCCCTCCTGCAGGCCTAATAAGTACAAATAAGGAAGTCCGAGCACATGTGTCCTGGTCTCAGGTCTCTGCACTGGCTCCTGTGGCTCAGAGACTTTACAGCGGCTCTGCTTGTAAAAGTCTTTTCATGGCCAAGCACCAATGTCCATCTGTGACATGTTAGTGTCATATGAACCATCTGCACTGTGAGGAGCTCAGGGACCGGCCTCCTGCTGGTGCCCAGAGTCACGACTAAACACGGGGAGTCAGAGTTTCAGGTTCATGCAGCTAAAACCTGGAACATCACATGACTCCGAGGAAGAGCGCAAGTGAGCAGTCGAAACTGTATGAAAACAAACTCTTGGTCTGTAAAAAGAACCTAATAACATAAAATATCTGAAGACCAAATGAATCTCATTGGACTAAAACCTGGAACAGTCTTCCTGAAGATGTGAGACAGGCCTCTACTTTGAGTCTGATTCTGTTTAGCTGCATTTTTCAGTCTGCGCTCTTCTTTCTCATTTAATGTCTCTCTCTTTTTCTGATGTTTATTTATGTTTTGATTAGTTTGAATTGTGATTTTAATGTATTTCTTATTCTGTAAAGCACTTGGAATTAGTTTGTGTACAAATTGTGCTATACAAATAAACTTGCCTTGCCCTTTGCTTAATAAGTCAGGTTTATGGAGACGTCACATGTCACTCACATCAATGTTTTGGCTTTTATTTATGTGCATTTGTGGTTAAAACTAATTACATACACGTTTTACTACACATAGTTTACCTCAATCACACTGAATATAACTAATGTTCAATATTTTTGTTTGTTTTGTCTTGTTTTTGCATATTTAGAAAAGAGTTATGTGACATTATAAAGCCTCAAAGCTGTAAAAGTGACATGTCAGGTATATGTTTGTGTATTTGGACAGTTCATTCATTCCTTTGTGCTTCTACGGTCTTTATAACACCAGAAAGATCAGAAATTTCATTGTAAATAAAGATGTAAACTGAACTTTAAATAGAAAATAAAATAAAGGATTATATTAGTGTCCTGTATCTAACTTTACTGATCACTACGGGGAACACATGAAAGTTTTGGGGGTTTTCTTCCGAATTTCGTATTTATTTCGTATATTTTCGTGTACCTTTAGAAGAGCCACCTCTCCTGCGCCGTGTGTGTCGATCAGAGTGTTGTCCAGGTCAAAAATAATCGCTTTTACGCCTTTATTTTCCATGTTTTTAAGCGCACACTCGCAGCGAACCAGAAAGTCTACAAACGCGGAAGTGCAAACCGGCGCAGTGCCTCATGGGAAATGTAGTAGGGTAAAAAAATAAGTAATATCTCGCTTTTGCCGCTAGAGGGTGCTCTTAAATTACAAAACATCGACTTCATTTCACTACACGAACACCTCACACAGTTAAAATAAGTAGTTTGAGTCTTCAGTATTATAAACTTTGAGTAATTTGAGCTTTTAATGAATAATAGTAAACTTAATAGTACTAATCTTTATGATATATGTGTGAAATTGTTTTCAAATTAGACTTTTATGACATTTTAAACACATTATACTGTTGTTTTTGTGCTGAGTTACTTGTATTGTATTAGATAAATTTGTATTTTGGTCTGTGCATGCATGTTTGAGTAAGATTTTAATTACAACGTGTTTTTAAAAAATTGAGACATGCTTCAAAAATAAAGGCGCATGTTTTTGTTTACACATTCTTTTATGATTTGACATTGACGGGGGAACCAGAAACTCACCCAGACACAGGGAGAACACGCAAACTCAGGGGTTGAGCCTGTGAGGCGAAAGTAGGACTGATAGAGGCTGGAAATCTTCAAGCACCACCATCACTCTTGTACACAAAAGCCGTTCAGTGAATTGTCATATCAGATCTATCTCTAGGGCTGGTGTACCTTGAGACAGTGAGCTTTCGATTCAATACGATATATTTCAAATTAATTCGATACAATTCAATTAAATAATAAAGGCTAAATCATGACTGTGATGCTAAAAGTCTTTGTTAAACCACTTCTTGTGCAAAGTTCATATGAAACACAAACATTTTAATCATCAGAACAGTGAAAATGTCAAATGTGTCGCATAAATGAGTTTCCTTCCTCTGAACAAGCAACAAAACTGTAGCTGTAACAAAATAATTTAGTCTAATAGAAACAAAAATATATCGATACAGCAGCTCATGAAATCGATACTGTATAATCACATTAAACCAGGGGTGTCAAACTCATTTTCCTCCGGGGGCCGTATCCAACCGACTTTGATCCCAAAGGGGCCGGATCAGAAAACTCATTCATATAAACCCCAAAAATAACAATAAGTTCAAATATTTGTGCAGAGAAACACAAATCTATTACAGAAATCTTTTTTAATTGATGAACTCTTTCTTATACAAAATATAATATTATGAACAACCTGAAACTTTAAGAAAAATACAATTTCAACACAATGTTTTAACATGAACTTGTCTGTAAACAGGAATAAGTTCATTTTTGTTGTAAAATCCTGCACTCGGCTCCTCTTTTCTCATGTTGGACATTTTTCTGATGAGGGTGTCACGGTCAACAGTCAAAACGATCGTCCTTTAAGAGCGTTTGGAAAGAGACAAGTCTTCATTTGTGCTGCTCTGGTGGGAGGGGCCACGTACAGAGATGCTGGAGACGCTGCTATGATAAACACCATAGAAAATTAACAATGTTTTAATAGAAAATATAATTAAAATATTTTAGTAGAAAATCAGCCGAGGGCCAGATTAAAGGTCTTGGAGGGCCGGATCTGGCCCCCGGGCCGTATGTTTGACACCTGTGGTTTAAATTATCAAAACAGTGAAAATGTCAAATGTGTCGCATAAATGAGTTTCCTTCCTCTGACCAAGTAACAAAACTGTAGCTGTAACAAAATAATTTAGTAAAACCGAGCCGCCGCCGCCGCCGCCGCCGCCGCGCCGCCGCCGCCTCCTCCCTCTGGAACTCACTCCCACAATCCACCAGGAACTCGGACTCACTGCAGAACTTCAAATCACGACTAAAAACTCACCTGTTCAAACTGGCATTCCACCGTTTTCTACAGTGTCACTTTTATTTGTTTGTAAAGCGTCTTTGAGTGTCCAAAAAAGCGCTATATAAGTACGATGTAGTATTATTATTATTAAAATATACCGAAAAATACTCTTGGTACAACAGCCCACGAGATCGATACTGTATCATCACGCTAAATATTTCTTTACTATTTATTTTTGCACACTCTCTACTACAGTCACTGCTGCTTCACTTTGACCCACCCGACGTGAGAAGTGATGAGATCAGCCTTGGACAAACGGAGCTGTAACAGCAGGAGAAAGCTGCAGTACGAGGCAAAAACAACAGGACTAAGATCAACCAAAAAAATGACAGACGTGTATCAGCTTTTTTTGTATTTATTCTGCTGAAAAACATATACTCATTCTTATTCCTCATGCCTCACAGCAAGAAGGTTCTGAGTTTGATCCTCGGGTTGCCTGGGCCTTTCCGTGTCACCAACCCAAAACATGCAACAATAGGTCTCCAGGAAGTACAGCTGATAGTTGAAAGCTAAGGTCACTTAAATAAAATAAATGAATGAACCTGCCCAGAGAGCTCATGATCAGAGGTGAGGGCAGGAACGTAGACTGATGGTAAATCGAGAGCTTCGCCTTTCGACTCAGCTCCTCTTCACCACAACGGTCCGATACAGCGACCGCATCACTGCCGATGCTGCACCGATCCGCCTGTCAATCTCACGCTCCATCCTCCCCTCACTCGAGAACAAGACCCCGAGATACTTAAACTCCTCCACTTGACGCAGGCCTATCGTCATGAGCTCTGGGTAGTGACCGAAAGGACGAGATCGCGGATACAAGCGGCCGAAATGAGTTTCCTCCGCAGGGTGGCTGGGCGCTCCCTTAGAGATAGGGTGAGGAGCTCAGTCACACAGGAGGAGCTCGGAGTAGAGACGCTGCTCCTCCACATCGAGAGGAGCAGTTGAGGTGGCTCGGGCATCTGTTTCTGATGCCTCCTGGACGCCTGTTCTGGGCATGTCCCACCGGGAGGAGGCCCCGGGGAAGACCCAGGACACACTGAAGGGACTATGTCTCTGAGCTGGCCTGGGAACACCTCAGAGTTCCCCTGGAGGAGCTGGAGGAAGTGTCTGGGGTAGAGGAAGTCTGGGAGTCCCTGCTTGAACTGCTGCCCCCACAACCCGGCCCCGGATAAGCGGAAGAATATGGATATGGATGGAACCTACCCAGGGACGACAGGTGGACATTATCACTGGTGCTACAACCTGGTACAAAAAACATCTCTCCTGTTGAGGTTCATGTAAACTGTGCTTGTTTCTGTCTCATTAAATAAATAAACTAACAAACTGCAATCAGTGTGGGCTCACATCTCCACAAACTTGACTTATACTTAGTCTACTCCTGCTTGTTTCCAGAAAAATGCCGTTCCTTTGGCTACACAGTATGACATAAACACATCTACATACCTACTTCTTTAAAATAAAGCTGTATTACACCAAATTGTCTCTTGTGAATTTTAAATCATGTTTTAATGTTGTTATCTCCTCAAAAACAGACCTGGAGTTGTGTTTTGTTTCATTCACACATGTTGAGTAACCCTTGATTATTAGTCTGTCAACATCTCCAAAGCTCAGAATGTTCTGTTCCACCTTGTGATGTCATGAAGCGGCAGTGTTCAAGTAAACAGATGTAATTAAATTAAATTAATTTAATTTAATTAGATGAAGGCTACACTGTCCCCATCAAATATTTAAATTAAATAACACAGTAATTAATCTTGTAAGGATGTAACAATAACTGAAATATCGTGATATCGTATCGTCAAAAGTCTCACAATAATATCGTGAGCCGTCACAATATATCGAATTACAAGTTCCTTTACTTAAATACATTTTTTTAATAGTTGCAACAGCTTATAAACATTGGGAACTACATATCCCATGATTCATTTCAGCTCAGACAACATGAAGAAATATGTTTTTGACTTGAATTCTTGAGATTATGACAGAAATAATTCACACCAAAATCTTGTCAAGGTATTTTAAAAGCAAAAAAAGTGTCTTTATTTCTTATTCTGTAAATGAAAATGTTGTTCCTTTGGCTCCACAGTATAACATAACACACAAAAATATCAAAATATCAATATATCATATCGTTTAATGTGATGATACAGTATCAATATCGTGGGCTGCTGTATCGATATATCGGCAAGAGTATTTTTTTGGTATATTTTACAAAATTATTTTGTTACAGCTACAGTTTTGTTGCTTGTTTAGAGGAAGGGAACTCATTTATGCAACACATTGACATTTGACATTTTCACTGTTTTGATGATTAAAATGTTTGTGTTTCATATGAACTTTTGCACAAGAAGAAGTGGTTTAACAAAGACTTTTAGTATCACGGACATGATTTTGCCTTTATTTTTTATTGAACTGTATCGAATCAGTTTAAAATATATCGTATCGAATTGAAAGAACACTGTATCGAGGTCTGTATCCTATCGGCAACTTCTTAATGATACTGAGCCCTAATGGAGAATGCTCGGAAGTATGGCTTTAACTTTCTATAGGCAGTGTTGGGGAGTAACAGATTACATGTACCGGAGTTACGTAATCAGAGTACAAATTATGAGTAACTGTATTCAGTTACAGTTACTGTTTCAGTGAGTGGTAATTGGATTACAGTTACTTTGTTGAAATAAATGGATTACACTGTGCTATTTTCCTGTTTTCACATTTTGGGCTATATCCCTTTTTAATTAGTTTTATTTTATTTTGGTAATTCCACTCATTGTCGGAAACCCAAACAGAACGCGTGCAGTAAGAGCGATGTAAACGTCTCGTTAACGTTGCTGGCGTCAGTCAAACAGTGGACGAGGTCGTTAATAATCGTCGTTGTTAATACCGTATTTTCTATTGCTATTAGACGCGCTCTTAAGCCTCCAACCCCATCAAAAAAGTTTATCTTTTGTTCGCTGCTGTCCATACGTGTCCGTTCGTAGCGCTGATGTCTTTAGTCAGTTACTGTATTTTCCACACTATAGGGCGCACTTAAAAGCTTTTAATTTCATCAAAAAACGACTGCGCCCCACAATCCAGAGCGCTTTATACACGAATCCACTCGGGTGTCCCAGCACGACTTCAGTAAACTACAAAGCCGCAACACCCGCAGAACACACAAACACACACGGAGCAGACAGCGACCGCACAGAGACAAACACCCACAGAC